CATGGTTTCACAAAAATTGTTCTAAAAAAATAATCACAAGCCAAAATGGGCATTTGAAAGAATGAGGATGCACAATAAAAAAAAGTGTCAAAGTGAAATGTCATAGATAGCAACTGTCAAACTTAGTGCTTAAGGAAATCAGACATTCCATAAGATGTTAATAACCTAATAATTTCACTTGAAACAACTGGTTGTAGAGTTTGGAATCTGTCTAAATCCTTAAAAGCCAGGCTAACACATAAAGGAAGCTATTAAGATTTTTAGATATCTTTAATTTATTGAAGAACAATGAAATTCTCTCCAGGTACTATCAAAAACAAATGAAATATCACTTACTCTTTTATCATATAGACTTTTGCCAGAATAGGACCTCTTATATGGATAGATGTGAAAATGTATTATTATTTTTTGTGAAAAGTCAATGAACTAGCTATATAGTTCTATTCTTAACATATTGGAAATAGTAAGTAACTCTTTAAATATGTGCCTGACAAACATTGAAAAACTATTTGTCAATTACATACATCCTTACTTGAGAGTGTAGTCTTGAGGTATTTCACATCTTTTTTTTTAGATTAAGCCAAACACATAACAAAACAAAACCTTTCTGTTTCACATAAGAAAAGCCTGAAATGGAAGAAATAATCTTGAACGGTGGAAATACAAATTGAAAGTAAAGAAAATTTCTTTTCAAATGAATAGGAAAGGTTATAACTTTTAATTAAGACTGAATTTTCAAAAGCATAGTGTTACATGTAAGTATGAAACATACCTTAAATTGTTTCTGCTTAACTTTCAGTCATTCAGAACTATTCTTGCATTTTCTCATGGTCAGGAAAAATCAGAAGAAATAAAGTATCAGAATTATTTACTTCCCAATTTGATATTATTTCTTGCGAAGCCATAAGGTGTAGTTTTAGAAACAAAAACAAAAACTATGTAAGTTTTAGATTCAGAAAGCTAGGGGTTTAGATTACAGCTCTGTCAATTTCTGCTTCAGTGACTTGGGATAGTTATTTATCTTCTTTTGGCTTCAGCATCATAAAAAAAAAAAAAAAAAAAAAAATCTAAGACAGCTCCCCCTGAGTGGTTCTTGGGAAGATTTCATGAAATTTATGTAAAGTGTTAAGCACATAAACCATGCTCAACAAGTTGTTTCAGTTCTTTTCTTTAAAAAAAAAAATTATGATCAGAACACTTAATATATTTAACCTCTTAATAGACTGTTAAGTGTGCAATACGATATTATCTATAGGCATGATATTGCACAGGAGATCTCTAGAACTTATGTATCTTTCTTTTATTTCAGAATATTATGGGGGTGCAAACATTTTGATTACATATAATGCCTTTGCCTGGCCCAAGCCAGGGCTACAAGTGTGCCCTTCCCCCATTCAGTGTACTCCGCCTCAATTAGTTTTGAGTTTACCCACACCCACCACCTACCTCACACCTGACCAGCATCCAATGAATACTACCTCCATGTGAGCACATTAGTGTTGATCAGTTAGTACCAATTCGATGGGGAGTACATGTGGAGCACATGTGGAGCTTGTTTTTCCATTCTTGTGATACCTCACTTCGAAGGATGGGCTCACGCTCTATCCAGGATAACATAAAATATGCTAGTTCACCATTGTCTTTTGTAGTTGAGCAGTATTCCATGGTATACATATACCACATTTTACTAATCCACTCACGTATTGGTGGGCACTTGAGTTGTTTCCACATCTTTGCATTTGTGAGTTGTGCGGCTATAAACATTTGAGTGCAAATGTCTTTATTATAGGATGTATTTTTTTTTTCCTTTGAGTGGATGCCTAGTAGTGGGATTGCTGGATCAAATGGTATTTCTATTTTTAGTTCTTTGAGATACCTCCAAATTACTTTCCACAGCAGTTATACTAATTTGCAGTCCCACCAGCAGTGTAGGAGTGTGCCTATCTCTCCATATCCACACCAGTATTTGTTGTTTTGAGACTTTTTGATAAAGGTCATTCTCATTGGAGTTAGATGATATCTCATTGTAGTTTTGATTTGTATTTCCTTAAAGACAAGAGATGTTGAGCACTTTTTTATGTTTGCTGGCCATTCTGTATTCTTTTGAAAAGTTTCAATACCTGTCCTTTGCCCACTTTTTGATGGGTTTGTTTGATTTTTTCTTGTTAATTTTCTTAAGTTCTATATAGATTCTTGTTATCAGCCCTTTATTGGATGTATACCATGCAAATATTTTCTCCCATTCTGTAGGTTGTTCATTCTAATGGTAGTTCCCTTGACTATGCAGAAGCTTTTTAATTTGATCAGGTCCCATTTAATTTTTGTTGCTGCTGTGATTGCTTTGTGGTTCTTCTTCATAAATTCTTTGCCTAGACTGATGTCTACAAGAGTTTTCTCAACATTTTCTTCTAAAATTCTTATAGTTTCATGCCATAGGTTTAAGTCTGTTATCCATCATGAGTTGATTTTTGTAAAAGGTGAGATGTGGGAATCCAGTTTCAATCTTTTGCATGTGGTTATCCAGTTTTCTCAGCACCATTTATTGACTAGGGATTCTTTTCCCCAATGTATATTTTTGTCTGCTTTGTCAAAGATCAGATGGATATAGGAGGATGGTTTTATATCTGTGTTCTCAGTCCTGTTCCAGTGAGCTATGTCTCTGTTCTTGTGCTAATACTATTCTGTTTGGGTTACTATAGCTTTGTAGTAAAGCTTGAAGTCTGGTAGATGGATGCCCAGGATGTAACTACCTTTCCCTTACAGTTCCTATCTCTGTTTCTGTATTAGTTTTTTCCTTGGTTCTATCTAATATTTTATGATTACTTATTCTATCTGATATAATTATTTAACATATAAAGTCTATCTCTACCATAGAAAGTAAGTTCTATGAAGGCAGAAATTTTTGTCTTTTTTATTCACTATTATATTTCCTGTGCCTAAAACAAAGCCTAAAACACATAGTAGGCACTCAATACTATAAATACTTGTTAATTGAATGTCTTCAGGCTATCGTGGGGAAAGCTGGTTATTTGGAAAGCTAGAGTAAAGTAAATTTCTAGCCAGTGAAACCTCCTTTTCTAATTAGGAAAGTCCTAATTAACTATGTGAATTATTTACTGTAAACTAAATTAATATCTTATTATAGAAACCCTTAAGTTTAATCTTACTTTGTTCCAAAGTGTATCTCTGAAATAGTAGCAGCTTGTAATTTAGATTTACTTAAAAGTGTTTTTTTTTTCCAGGTAGGAAAGATAAAAAGTAGAATCATAAAAAATAATAATACACTTTTGGGAAAACTTAAACCTTGAATAAACCTAACGAACAGAATATAATAAAAGCATTTTTATACTACAAATGAGTAGTAACACAGCAGCTATTTTGGCAAGGGCAACTTATTGAGAATTCATTTTGATGCCAACAGCTTATATGCAACAGCTATGAGTAAAACAGTTTCCAAAATGTGGATTTCTTCTCTTTTTAGCCTACTACTGGCCATCTCTAAATCAAAGGTGCAAAATATTTATACTTAGAAAAGTCTTTTCATGGCAGGTAGTTATAAAAAGGTTTTATAGTATAGCAGGATCAATCCTAGATTAGTTCCAGTTAAAGCATTCTTCATAGCTTTTGGCGTTTTGAGGGAGATGTTCTTTTATACACTTGACCCTTAGAACGAAGCATCTAAACCTCTGTTCCCCTGTCCTCTTCAGTTAACCTTACAGTAGGGGTCTGCAACCTATGGTGAGTTGTATAATTATTTCATTATATATTATAATGTAATAATAATAGAAATAAAGTAAACAATAAATGTAATATGCTTGAATCATCTCCAAACCATCCTCTTCCCCCACACCTGGTCCGTGAAAAAATTGTCTTCCATGGAAAGGGTCCCTGGTGCCAAAAAGGTTGGAAACTGCTGCCTTAGAGGATATTGATAGGTTTCTTAGTTTTAAGGTGAATTTATAAACACAACTGAGATGTTAGATCATTCAAAGGTATTTTTTTGAATTTGATAAATTTTAAGTAATTTAAATTATATACTTAAGTACTTAATTACATACTTAGGTATTTTTTAAATGATTATATTTTTATGCTACCTTTCCCTTTTCAAGTTTCTGTCACATGTATACTCTTGAGTTATATCAGCCTGAGTTAACACACTTTCTGCATGATGTCAAAGGACAAATGAAAGAAAAGGCTATTAGGGCACTACTTAGGGAAGAAGAGCTTGGAAATGTTCAAAGGTCAATATAACCCAAGTTCTTGCCTAGGCTTTAAGTATATTGTCCTCCAAGACTGGTGAATATCCCCCATAGGTAATAATCTGGCATGGATATTCAACCTTGGAGAATCCAGGTAAGTTAAACTCCTTTTTGCTATAAAGATGCATAAGCCTGCCAAAGAGCTGAAGGTAGTCATTTTATCTTTTTTATATAATTAAAATTGTTAACATGAACTCTAGATATTGAAATTTCATGAAATTTATTCTGAGTGTTCAATTTCAGAAGAAAGAAAAAGCATTTTCTAGCAAATGAGCACATGAAATAAGAAAATGAAATCAGATGGTGTGATTATTCTTTCAGCTGAAGTTATTTTAGCTAATAAAAATTACACATTTTTAAAAATTTTCTTTTTAAAAAAAATTTTAGGGGGACTGTATTACTGTATAATGAAAGAATCCTAGATTAGAAATCAGAAAACCTCACTTCTAAACTCTAAACTAACTTGCTATGTGACCTGGCTTAAGTCTTATAATTTTTCTGGGTCTTATTTTTTACTAATATAATGAGACTGTTTGACAAGTTGATGTCTAGATTCCTTTCAGACCTAACATTGTATGATTCTAAGTTATTGCAACAGATGAAATCATAAATCTATTAATTTATATACATTGGCACAATATTATAGCACTTGGTATAAATTATTGTAATAGAAAGCTTTCATTGCCCATATATGCTTTAGAAAATATTTCATGTGCCAATGATATGAAATTGTTTTTATAGGTACATTCCTCTCATTGAAAGGAGCTGTACTAACATTCTCCTGTATGGACCGAACTGGTGGATTAATGCAACCTCCATATGAAGTTTGGAGGGATCCAAACAATATAGATGAAAATGAAAAATCTTGGAGAAGAAAAGTGGTCATGAACTCATCCTCTGCATCCCAGGAAGTAGGATATCATCAGTATACAGTAATCTGCTCAGAAAAACAAGCCAAAGTCTTTTCACTGCCTTCTCAGACTTGCCTTTATGTTCATAACATCACCGAGACATCTTTTATTCTACAAGCAGATGTGGTGGTCATGTGTAACAGTGCTTGCTTGGCATGCTTTTGTGCTAATGGACATATCATGATAATGAGGTACTTCTCTTCTTTATAAATTACTTGATAAAACAATGCCAGCAAGGTACAATTCTGAAAAGTATATGTGTAATGTGCAAGATGTTATCAATAAGCAACCTGAGATCATTGTTTTATTATGCTTGTGGATGTTTTAGTGTTCAATTTAATAAGAGTTTTGGGTTTTTGCTAAAAATGGTTGGCATTGTGAATGAAATATATATTCTAATTAACATCAAGGAATCTAAGGAAAGAATGATTTCTTGGTCATTCATATATTCATTCAACAAGCAATTATTAAGCATATGTTATCTCCCAGATGCTATACTAGGCCTGGGAAATAAAAGATGAATAAGGTAGAATGAAAAGAAGTTAACTGTTACTTTTACTATGTTTCATACTTCACCCAAGAATTTGACATACAGAATATTATTTGATCCTTACAGCTTCTCTAGGATATAGTAAAATAAAGTATTATTTTTGTCCTCTATTTTACACATGTTAATAAATTAAAGTTACATAATTTGCCTCAGGTTGCAAATCTAGGAAAAATGAGGCTAACACTGAACAGTACACTAAAAGTCATCAGACACTTTAAAAATAAGATATCAGCTAAGAGATTTCATTCTACTTTTAGTGAAATTAAATAAAATTTGTAAGCTGAAAAGCTATTACCTAATGAGTTTCATTAATTCAGCAAACAGTTAATGACCATAAACTATGAAGAAGTATCTCACCTGGTTCCAAAGATCATTGAGGTAGTTCAGCATTATGCTAGGCTTGGGAAGGATATAAAAATTAGTAAATCATGGTCCTAACCCTTAAGAAGTTTACTTCCTAATTGTTGAGATAAAACAGGTTCACAAGTAATTATAACACAAAGAAAATATAAATTTCAACAGAGGAAATATAGGATTGAATTTTCTAGTCACAAACTAATTCCTTGGACTTCAAAGTCACAGGATAGTTGAACATGTATTAAAAAGAAGAGTTGCTGGGAAGAAAGTAACCTGGAGAGATAGATTAAAGCAATTTGTTCAAGACCTTGAATGTCAAGCTAAAAGTTTGACATTACCCAATTAATAGGAAATCGGATTTTAAACCAGATAATTAACTTTATCTAGGTATGCCTTAAGAAATAATATGGAGGGTGAGTTAGTTGGGATAGGCTTTTGAACTAAAGTGGTAGCTATATAGAAAGCAAGGAGGGAACAGGTATGAGGGATAATGGAGGGAAACTTACTAAATACAAAGCTGATTGGTTATGAATGGTAATGGAGATTGTTAAATTTGGGGATTAGAAGAGAACTGAAAGGTTAAAAAAACTTTTTGGGAACCTGAATAACAGTAATACCATTAACATACAGCAAAGTCAGAAATATGTGGAAAAGCTGATAATGAGAAATTTGGGAAGAAACTAAGAATGTATATTTGAAATTTGAGGTGCTTATAAGTCATCCAGAAAGTTTAGCAAGCAATTTAAGATCTGGGCTCTTAAACAAATATAGGTAGCAGATCCAGCTTGGAAGTTGTCTATGTAAATACATTAATAAAAGTTATGACAATGAATGAGATCATCAAAAAAGATACTATAAAAAGAAATGAGAAATAGATTGAGCTGAGGATAGAAGCCTGCAGTATCTCTACATTTATATAGTGAAAGAAAGAAGAGGATCCAACATAGGAGACTGAAGAGTCATTAGAAAGATAGGGAAAGGACCAGAATGGATTAACTTCATGAAAGAAAAAGGAGAGCAGAATATCAGAACAAAGGAGGTGGTCAATAGGTAGTAAAATATAGCAGAGTATATATTTGAGTATAAGAAAAAAACACTAGATCTTGCAACTAGTAGGATATTAATGATCTGTGAGAAATCAAATCTTAGTAGCATAGTGGAGGCAAAAGCTAATTTTGAAGGGGACAAGAATAGAAGCAGTGGTATGGACAGGGGTTGGCAAACTATAACCCATAGACCAAATCTACTCACATGTCCCCATCTGATTTTGTACAGCCTGCAAGCTAAGAATGGTTATTATTTTTTTATATAGTTGAAAAAAATCAGAGAAGAAGAATATTCATGATATTTTAAAATTGTATTAAATTCAAATTTCAGTGTCCATAAATAAAATTTTTTTGGAGCATAGCCACACCCATTTGTCTATACATGGACTGTGGCTGCTTTTCTACTACAAGGTAGAATTGAATAAGTTGCAAAAGAGGCTATCTGGCTTATGAAGCCTAAAGTATTTTCTATCTGGTCCTTTACCCTTGTATAGATTATTCTCTAGGAATTTTTATGGTAAAAAGAGAGATGAGAGACAAGAAAGTAGTTCCAGAGTGAAACTAGGTTTTGAGAGTGATTTGTTTTTATTGTATTTTTTAGTTGTTGTTGTTTTGATAGGGGAGACAAAAGCAGATTTTGTCAAAAGCAGAAGGAGAAAGTTTTGAAAAAATAAAAGCAATTCCTTTATGGTTTGTTCATTCTCTCATATATTTCTGATTCTTTCTCTTTATCTGGTTTTCCCTTTCTCAAACTATTTTTAGAAATTTCCAATAAGATCATTTCAGTCTTGTTTGAAAATGATTTAACTCCTAGACATTTCTTAGTTTTCAAAACAAAAATGTATATTTGAAAAAAAAGGTGTATCTCACACATACACCTCCCCCTCCCCTAAGCTAGCATTTAGTCACTCAAAATTTGTTTTACATTATTAAACTCTTATGCCACAACTGGAATTTCAGCTTGTTAGTGATTATTTACCCTGTGTTTCCAAAATGTTAATGGTTTTGATTTCTCAAGTGGTATTATGTATACCCCCCAATTAACTTCTATTTAAATGAGTATGTACTACCATTTACATTTATGCAGAGAGATTTCTTGAGAAATGAAAACATGAGATTTTTAAAAACAACAAGAGTCATTAAGACAGTAATCTGTTTCTCTTTGTCCTTTGTAAAAGCTGCTTTACTTGATAATGGTTACTTTGATATTATGTCATAGTAGAAGCTCTTCCTATATTCCTGAGGATCTGCAGAAATATTTGAAAAGGAAATGTTTGTACATGATTTTAGTAATCCATATACAAAGTGTGGATAGGAAATAATGATATGTACTGTGCTGTGTGTCTTGAAGAAAGGAATCCTACAAATTAGCATGCCCCTGGCCTTGTTCATTTTCCCATGCTAGGTATATTCCTAGGATCTTTGCAGACCCTATCAAAATACCACTGTCCTGAGCCCAGTCTTCTCAAGTCCTGGTTTTCTGATAGATAACAGGTAGCTAAAGATTGCTTAGGTCCTAAGTACCCAGACCTAAAAAAGCACTTTTGAGAGTAGAGAAGGCTGCAAGAGGCTTATCTGTATGTGAATTCTCAAATTGGTCTATAACGGCCATTTTTTGTGAGAACTACTTTTAGTTATCTGACTCAACTTCTTTACTGACGTGTCCTGCAAAAAAGAGAATCTTTTTTTTTCTGGCATTAGAAGCAATTGATTCCTAGCATGTAACAATTTACTTGCTCTTTCCCTTTTCCTACCTGAAGTGATTATGCCTTTTTTCTTTTCTTTTCTTGGCTTACTTTTATTATACAACATAGATAATGTGTAGCTGATCAGAAATGTCAGTTGAAACCTCTTCCTCAACTCTACCCATTAATTTGACTGAATATATCATGGAAGACAATTGAAATGGGTTTGTTTTGGAATAATATCTTAAGGAGTTTACTTCCCTGAAGTGCTATAACAGATAATATTTTATATCTTTTTTAGATAGTAGACAATTCTTTATTCATAGCAGGTCTTTAGAATCCAGTGTGTAATTTATACTTATAGCACATCTCAATTCATAATAGCCGTATATTAACTGCTCAGTAGCCACATGTGGTTAGTGGCTTCCGTATTGGTCAGCACAGTGCTGGAACTTCATGAAAAGCTTATTCCGATAGTACAAATTTCAGGTCCCATTTTATATGGCAAACTTTTAGGGCTCAAAGTATAGTTATAAATTACTTTGGTAAGAGAAATCAGTACGTTTTTTCCCCCAAGGTACTGGTTTTATGATCTGGGATAATTTGAAATCATTGTGCACACTTAGAATCAGTAGAATGGTCCCAGAACTTGAAATTTAATTACAAGTTTATCTTTTTCCTTTTGGTATTAGAGGTGTGATTAAAAAGCAATGAGACTGGCTTCCTTCAGTGGTTTGTAAAACTCGTCCTAACAACAGTATCCAAAGAGACATTCTGATGAATATTTTAGCAAAATTATTAGCTACAACATTAGAATAAGCATATAGCCATGGGGTAAGACACTTCAGATGTGTGATATTCATTTGGATGTGCAAATTATGATCCATTATTTATAATTTCTTTTCATTCCCTTACAGCCTGGGCCGTGTTTATTCATTAATCATGCCTTTAATGCAGTTGTCCTAAGTTATAGATAATTTTCATTTCCTGTGTCTAGAGTGAATAAAGGAGTGGGGATCAAAGCCACTCAATTCCTGGGAACAGTGAAGTGGACCCACCCCACATCTCTGTCAGTGCATGACCTCCTCAGACTTAGGAGTTCTGCCTGAAAGAGATGCCATAGACCAAGTATGCACTCAGACACTTTCTAGCTATGATGTTTCTGACAAAACCAAAGGCAATAATATTGTAGATACCTCTGAAATGCTGTAAAAACTGCCCCTGAAATTTCTGGCAACTGCATTTAATCCTTCAAAGACATTTGCTAAGCATCTTCAAGGATTATGATAGAAAAACTGTGCCCATGATTTTTTGTGTATATGATTTTATGTAGAAACCTAGTTTATTACCACTGAAACTTCAAGAGGATAAAAGGAAACAACCATAATGAGATGGTATTAGAATTACTATTTTGATATAAGGATCTGCTTTTAACAGCAAATGTGGCTTTACTTTTTCCATTCAGCCTACCTAGTCTTCGCCCAATGTTGGATGTTAATTATTTGCCACTGACAGACATGAGGATAGCACGAACATTTTGTTTTACCAATGAAGGACAGGCGTTATACCTCGTCTCTCCTACCGAAATTCAGCGGTTAACATACAGCCAAGAAATGTGTGATAATCTACAGGTAGGTCAGGAAGTACATTTCCTCTGGACATGGTTGTTAGAATAAGAGATATCTAAAAGCTAAAATATTATTAGGTCAGATAATAAATATGACCTCCCTACAACATGTTTTAAATATATGTTCTTCATTGTGACCCTACTGACTTCTAGATGGCTTTAGATATACAAAGAAATAATAAGAGGGATAAAATGTGAAGATCATTCATATTCTTAGTTAATCTTTTTATTTGTTTTTACCCATGGAGGATCTTCTGAAAGATTATAAACTCTCCCCCCAGGTGGGAAATACGTACGTACACACAAAAATTTTGCATACAGTCCAGGGAGTTCATGGACTTCTCTGAAAAAAACTTAATTTTGATTAAATGCCACACAAAATAAATATATATCCTATAGGTGAGAACTGAGCATTTGTCTTTCATAGAAGTAGTAAGCATAGCCTAGAAACAGGATAGATATAAAAGTCTATCTATCTAACCTTGGTAAGTAAGAATGGTCACATTCTTTTAAAAGCTCATCTTAGAGATTTAATGGGTTCAACACCCTCATTTTACAAATAAGAAAACTAAAACACATTCATTATAATATAAAGGTTAAGAGTGTAGGCTCTGAACTATTTGAGTTGTATTTTGGCTCCCCCATTTCTGTGACTTTGGGTGTTTTACTCACCTGCGTGCTCTACCTTATCAGAATTGAGTAAGAAATTCATATAAAGCACTGAGCATAGTACCTGGAATATAGTAAGTTTTTAAAGGCAAATAATAAATATCATTATCATTATTCTACAAATATTTATTGAGTTTTTATTATATGCCTGGTACTTGGCTAGACTCTAGGAACACAATAAAAAACAAGATACAAGTCCCTACCTGCTAGTGAGGAGAGATAAGTAAACAGACAACCACAGCACTCTGTGGAAACTGCCATGTATGCTGTGCTGGTGCTGGGAGGTGTATAGTAAGGCATCTGGGTTGATGGAGCAGGAGGGAGGTGGTAGTTAGAGAAGGATTATGGGCACAACCGACTTCTGAAGGCTAGGGATGAAAAAGGTGAAGACAGTCTAGATAGGCGTCCTCAAACTACGGCCCGCGGGCCACATGCAGGTGTTTTTACCTGTTTGTTTTTTTACTTCAAAATAAGATATGTGCAGTGTGTGTAGAAATTTGTTCATAGTTTTTGTTAAACTATAGTCTGGCCCTCCAACAGTCTGAGGGACAGTGAACTGGCCCCCTATTTAAAAAATTTGAGGACCCCTGGTAGACAGAAGTAGTGGCATGTGAAAGCTTCAGGGTTAAGGAAACTGCCAAGAAAGTGCAGAATCTGGAAGTGAAAAGAGTGGAGGTATGGTGCTGGAGGATTCTCAAGAGCAGATCTTGAAGCCCCTTATAAGCTCCTTTGGGGATCTAACATTTATCCTAAGGGCAGTAGGAAGTCATTGAAAAGTTTTAGCAGATTTGTTTATTAAAACAAATATTCTGGGGGGGCGGGTGCAGGTGCGGTGGCTCACGCCTGTAATCCTAACACTCTGGGAGGCCAAGGCGGGCAGATCACTCAAGGTCAGGAGTTCGAAACCAGCCTCAGCAAGAGTGAGACCTCGTCTCTACTAAAAATAGAAACAAATTAATTGGCCAACTAAAATATATAGAAAAAACTAGCCAGGCACGGTGGCGCATGCCTGTAGTCCCAGCTACTCGGGAGGCTGAGGCAGGAGGATCGCTTGAGCTCAGGAGTTTGAGGTTGCTGTGAGCTAGGCTGACATCACAGCACTCTACCCTGAGCAACAGAGTGAGACTCTGTCTCAAAAAAAAAAAAGAAAAAAGAAAAGGAAAAAAACCCACAAATATTCTGGTTATAGTATGGCAGCTGGTTTTGAGGAAGCAAAACTGAAGGTAGGGAAAACAATTAGAAGGCTTTTTGAAATAATTAAGGCCAAAATTTACAGTGTCTTAAAATAAGCCAATAGTGAAGATGGAGAAAAGTTAAAAGATCCAATAGCTATAAAGTGTAATCACTTGGATTTGAGGATTATTTAATATAAAAGTGAGAGGAAGGAATTATTAGTTATTTCTGGGCTTCTGGCTTGGGGAACCAAAGAGAGAGTGCTGCTATTTCCAAAGAGAACGGCTTCAGGAGGAAGAACACAGGTCTAGTACATAGAGGTAAGGGGAGTTGATGAAGTTAAAGTCATACAGGAAGTTCATAGACAAACTGATATGAGGTTACAAATCTCCTGACTGTTGATCTAAGTTCCTTCCCCCACACTGATGTTTCTGAAAATTTGGTCTGCTTTAGAAATACCTGGAAAACAAGGTCTGATACAGACAACCAGAGCACATCTATGTAGATTCTGATTTAGTATGTGTGGAATACAGCCTGAAAATACACATTTTCTTCTTTTAAATTATTTGTTGTAGTGATGTAGTCTTGCTATGTGTTGTGCAGGCTGGTCTCAAACATCTGGCCTTAAGTGATCCTCCAGGCTTGGCCTCCTATAGTGCTAGGATTACAGGCATGAGCCACTGCACCCAGCCTTGCATTTCTAACAAGATATTTCTCCAGTCATTCTAAGGCTCTCAAAATAATAAGAACAATTGTACCTAACCATATAGTAGCTGCCTATTTTGACTCATTTAATTTACCTTGAGCCATTTCATTAACTTTGAACTTGGTATAAAAATAGATCCAACCATCTTCTACATACTACCAATGGCTTCCTATATCATACAAACCACATTTGATTCAGGGAAGGGAACCAGGATAGGAAAGAGGCTGTGGTAATTGAGAAAGGATCAGAAGTGTAGGTTGGTAATTATTGATCATAGGTGGAAATTAATCCTAAGGTGAATATATTAGCTTCCCATGCTTTCTAATAATGAAAGGGAGAAGAGTAGAGGACAGAAAAAAAGAGAAATTTTAGGATGTTAGTTACTAGAGACGGGGAGGAAAAGCAGATGAAGAAAAATGCCAGAGACAGAACTGTGAGCAAAGTAAAAATCATCAGGAAAATATATGGAAAACAGACTTTTTCTCATGAGGTGTTCTAACATACAGTGTTACCCTTCTATTTATTAATTTGTTTTTTAGTTTCTCTAATGCTTTTTTCTTTGAATTTTGTACAGGACATGCTAGGAGATTTGTTTACTCCCATAGAGACACCAGAAGCTCAAAATAGAGGATTTCTCAAGGGACTGTTTGGTGGAAGTGGACAAACATTTGACAGAGAGGAGCTCTGTGAGTAAACTCCTGATTATAAAAATATATCTCAAAATAGGCCTGTTTTTCTCTGTGTATGTGTGTGTAACAATGTAATATGTGATCTCAAGCTCTTGGAGTAGGTTATTTTTTACTTTTATCTTAAAATTTGAATCTTTCCTTGAGTACCATAAAAATTATTTCTGTTTACCAAGAATGAATAAAATTGGTCACTTCATATTGGGGAATAGTTTAACAAGAATGACATAGGTAATTTATACAAATAAGGAGCAAGCTAATAAATATCTCATTTGCAGGTAAACCATAGCTGCATGACAAGCTGAAGGTATTCAGTTATTAAAGTCTGGAAAAATTTTTTTAATCTGCCTGCCTTTAATCACTGCTAGGAAACCAATTCTTTATTCAGAATGCAAGGTTTACCAATGCTACAAAATAAATTACTTTAACAATCTACCAGTGAGACTTTGATAAACAATAATTGAAAAGTAATAAGAAGATACTAGGGAACAATTTTTAGAGAAAAGATAAGAATATATTTTCCAGAATATCTCACCATCATTTGGTCTTGCAGATCAAAACTCTTTCTCTTGAATGCTTAACTCTGCAAAAAGATCTAGGTGCTTTTTGTCTTTATACCATGGATATTATTTGGCCATGAAATGGAATGAAGTTCTGATACATGCTACTACGTGGATGAACCTTGAAAACATCCTAAGTGAAAGATGCCAGACAAAAAAAGGCCACATATTATATAATTCCATTTATATTAACTTTCCAGAATAGGTTAATTCAGAGAGACTGAAAAATAGATCAATGATTGCCTGGGGCTGGGATAAGGAGGGAATAGAGAGTAACTGCTAATGGGTATGAGATTTCTTTTGGGGGTAATGAACATTTTCTAAAATCAGATAGTGGTAATGGTTGCAAAAATTTGTGAATACACTAAAAACTAGTGAATTGTACACTTAAAAGGATAAATTTCATGGCATGTGAATTATATACAGCTCTTATTTTTTGTAAAAAAAAAAAAAAATCTAGATTCCATCTGCTTTTACTTAAAAAGAAATCTAGATTCCATCCCATTGTTACATCCTTGGGAATGCTCACTAAATTTCTGCCAAGATAGCTATTTTTCAATAAAAATGTTTTACTTCATTGAAATTGAATAAAACTGAGCTTTGTAAGTGACTGGGAATTTTGTTAGCCTTTTATAAGTCACAAAATTTTAACATGTGTATATTAGTGTCCATCATTCATATATTCATATACCCCATTCTCTAGTATTTAGGGGAGTGGGGAGAGAAAGAAAAACATCCAGAGGCCTACAAAGGCTGATCAATTGAGATGAACAAAGAAAATTGGGATAAATACCTGGGCAGAAATTTAAGCAAATGGTCAGGCCTAAGATTAGAACAGACACTAATATGGATTAGATATGAGGTCACATGCATTTTGAATATTCCAATTCAGCCATGTCAATAAATGCAATTATGCCATGTTGTGTGGAACATACACACACACAAAAGGCACATGGTAACAATCTCTCTCACTTTCTCTTTCTTAGGCATTTTTCTTGGGTAAGTGCTAATATCTCCAAATACATATATATGACAGGACCAAATATGTCTCCCTTTTTAGTAAGAATTATGACAGTAGAATATAATGCAAGTATTTAGTTTTGGTGACTATTTGAATTATTGAAAACATGTTTTAAATTGCTATGGCTTGAATTCCCAGTTGGGGAAGCTTCAGCAGGGAAAGCATCCAGCAGCCTTGCAAAACACATTCCCGGGCCAGGGAGTATAGAAGGGATGAAAGGTGCCGCTGGAGGCGTGATGGGAGAGCTGACCCGAGCACGGATTGCACTTGATGAGAGAGGACAAAGGCTAGGAGAGCTGGAAGAGAAAACTGCAGGCATGATGACCAGTGCAGAAGCATTTTCCAAACATGCACATGAGGTAAACCGCCTAAGTAAATATTGTCATCTTTATGCAGTAGTGATTGTAAACTTTTAGGTCCTGCAAGAAAGCTTAAACAGTGATGCCACATGAGTAATCCTGTGTGAGAGTCAGGGTAACTTGGATCTCTTATAAGTATTACTAATCCCCTAATATTTGGGAAATAAAAGGTTTTTTTTAAAATACTATAATATATTGATACTCCTTTACCTTAGGAGATAATTTAAAAAATTATTCATTGGTTCTGATACATTGAGTCTGTATTGTGCATCTGCTGCTTAAAAGATGTTTAGGTAGATGATGTGAGTCCCCCGGGAAGGTGTGCGGGGCAGTAGAGGCTGAGAGCCACACCCTCCGTTAATCTGAGTCATTAAAAATCATTTCCTGTCAGCTGAGTCTTTACAGCTTGATCAGGTTTTTGTTTTTGTTTTATAATTTTATTATAAGTTTTGAAATTTAGTTATGTATTAATTCAATATAGGCTTGATTTGAATAGCACTTCTGAAGATTTTTTTTACCATCTTATGGTGACTGTTTTTTTCTTTGCAGTTAATGCTGAAATATAAGGATAAGAAATGGTACCAATTCTAAACTTCTAAAGAAGCCGTGACTGCTTTGAAAAACCATTATTCAGGGAAACTAAATTTATTCCCAGCATCACTATTCAACTGCTAGAAGCCAGTTCCTTCTACAAAATGTTCCATTACAGTCAATCTGAAGTTATCATAAAGGAGACGTGTCAGAGACGCAGTACAACCAAAAGGCTGGAGCCCTGGTTAAAATCCCAAGATATGTCTGAATTTGCCTTTTCCCATGTGGAATGGAGCTACCATCTTGGCATGTCATTTGCTAAGGATTTACATTTAGGAACTACGGGGAGTCCTTTTAATTTGAAAATTCCTGTACAAACAAAAGCATTAATGCACTTAATGAAAAAAAAATCTTTGCATGATAAATTAACATCTTAAGAGGAAAAGAAAAAAAGCATGTTGTGACAGAAGAGAAGAAGATTTATGGTAAACTATTTTTATAAATTGGGCCACACCTGAAAATATAAAAAATCTGCATTAGAAGATTGATCAGTGAATTTCAGATCTATTTGCCATACCCAACTGAAAAGGTAAACAAGAGCCCAAAGTTTTCTTCTCATCTGTAACTTTCAATATTCTAGGACATTATTGAATCTTATGGCAAGAGTCTGATAAATGTTTTTCTCTCCCAATAATATTTTACATTATTCATAGTTCTCAGTCATAAGCAAGTATTGCCAGTATAGTAACTTATTTCCAACACAGTTATTTCCATTTCTATCACCTTCAGAATGGGTTGCTATTTTTAGCACAAACCATGCAGGATTGGGTCACCTGAAAGCATTTTTTAGCCTGGCTTGTACTCTGCAGGGGAGTTGATGATAGGTTTGGGGAAACTAGGCTACAGGAACAACCCAGCTTTGAGAACCGATTTCACAAAAAGTGAAATGTCACACACCCCAATTTCAGTTTCTAAAGTGATATATTTTTTAATTCCATTTGTATCCTTGTCTGTAAGTTACACAGTATATTACTGTTCAAACCCAGTGGGGTCTACAACCCAAAGGTGCTTTTGCAGCCTGACAGTCACAGACCAAACTGGTCATTCTCTTTAGTGTGATTCAGTAAAACCTCAGTTAATGTTTTTGGAAAGGGATTCTGATTTACATTTCTGATTAACAAGGGCTTTCATTAGAAAATACTTTTTGGTTCAATACTTATTATTGGAAATCTTTATAAAATGTAGTGATGCTTTTGCTATCTTGGCCTCAGTCATCATTTTGGACAATAGAGTTTAATGATACAACATCAATAATTTTGTCCCTAATTGAGTCTAATAACATAAGCCACAGGATTATGTCAATAGATGCCAAACACCTATTCCTTATTTAAAAACTCGTTTTAAAATGGAATAAATTTTTATTTATTTTTATTTTTAACATGATAAAAGGTATCTATCATAACTTAGCAGAGAAGCACTAGAGGCAAAACAATATAAAGATACCTACAACCATTTAACATGATTCTGGAAGTCAAAAGTCATAGGAATGCATATATACGTATTCCAGGACCCATCCTCTAATATGTTGTTTCTTCAAAAAGAATCTTTTCTTAAATTATGGGTGTGGCTTATTGAATTTTGATTAATCAAGTTCTCATTGAATTTACATTCATATTCTTAAGAATTCACCATTTTCCTAAAGTCCAGGTTATTTTAATGGCCAAAATAGTACTTGGTTTTTGTAGATTTTGTTTGATATGGCGCTTCCTTGGCAATGTTCTCAGTAATTTTGAGAAGGAAAGGTAATTGAAAATGTATGCTAGGACAGCATTTTTCAGAGTCCTTGAATTCTCCTGATTACAAAAAAAAGTTTCTCCATGAGCCTCCCAGCCCAGACTCCTGTGAACCGCCTTACAGTAAGAACCTGGTTTGGTTCTTATAGTAACCAAGTAAAATATTAAATAGTAAAATATTAACCTTGGGACCAGGATCTGGAAAACACTGGCAGCCATATTGCAATGCACTATTTGTACTGAGTTTCAAGGAACCAGTATTCTGATTTTTGGACAAATACTTTATCATTTCTATATTTTAAAAACAACTAAAGAATGAAATATTAGTTTATTTTAGAAATAATGAGATGCAGTCCAAAGCAGCATTAAATTCAGTGAATATCTCTGAAGACTCTAACAAAATTTGATTTAACTGGTTCTGCATCAGGGTTTCTCAACAGTGGCAGAAAAGTCTTTGTTGTGGGGGACTGTCCTGTGTATCGTAAGATGTTAGCCACATCCCTGCATCTACCTACTAGATACCAATAGGAACCCCCTAGTAATGACAATCAAAGAAGGCTCCAGCCATTACCAAAACTGCTTTATAGCCACAATTCTATATCATTTAAAGAGACAGATTAAGTGTGAATATGTAATATATGTCTTATATAAAACTGTACATCATAAGTACACAGTGTCTCAGTAAAATAACTATACCCAAAATTACATGTGTGGTTCATATGCAATAAAATACAATTTTGGAGAAAGCTTATACGAATCAGTGAAAAATAACAACTACAGAACATTTGAAAGCATGCAGGGAAACCATCAAAAAGGACATAGCATTTCACAGTAGAAATGCTTAAAACTCTGGCTTCAATGAATAGATGAAAAGTGTAAAATTAGCACATCAATTGGAAGTAAACAGGTGCTTCTGAAATGCTTGAAAAGGTTCTTTTAAGTAGTTTAAATGTGTCTTTCAAAATTCTTTTTATGAACCCTTTCTCAATGTAAGGGTAACTCATCTCACAAACTCCTGATTAGTGGAATCCAAATTAATGAGGTTTTACTGTATCAAACTTATTTTTATAATTCAAAGAGATAGCAATAACAAGAATCTAATGTGGATGTGATTTTTCTCTTTGAACATTTCTGTTCTGTTGCACTGACCTTAGCATAGACGCGCGCGCACACACACGCACACACACACACACACACTATCACCACGACCACCACCATTATCATCTTATCATCATCATCATATTTGCAAAATGAGTACTATTGATCCATGTAATATTTTGCATCTTCTCATCTTTACTCTCCTCGATCTTGGAACATAAGAAAAATACTCCTAGTAACTTGGACAAAAATAGAGAAAATGACTCTGAGCCTTAGTTATCATCAAAATTACATTTTATCTGCTAAGTTGGCATCAGAAGATAACACTTGCAAACTAAAGTCTCAACAATTTGACCTTATCTCCCTATGACTCTCAAAAGATAACCCCTTTCTACTGTTCCAGCAGAAAATGGGCCTTACCGTTCTATTTATCGATCAGAAGCTATTTGTTTCCCTGGGACTAACAAGCGCAGTAATCCTTATCATGAAATCATTCATTAATCTTGGAGTTTGGAGGAAGGGATGATTGATTTATCATTTATTGTAATCCTCTACAAAAGCAGTACTACTGACTTTGCTTCCTATGCTTCATTGAGCTCCAGACCTAGTGCCCCAATCATCATCAGGGTCATTTTCTTACTGCAACTTTGGAAGGATGATGACACACTTGAATGAGATATTTTCTAATAATTCAGTCATAAAGACAATTTTTCAAATCTTTTGGAAGCGATTCTCAATAAATCAAGATCCAGGTCTCTATATCTCAAAATTTCTAAAGGCTCTTAAAGGAAAAAGTTTACTGTTGGAAGGCCTTTTTAGTGACCCAGGTATCCAGTTTTATCCATTATCTAATTAAGGGATCATCATGACTTTGAGAGAAAAAAGAGTAAGATTAGGCCTAATAATGGTTCAAGATTTAGATAGATCCTGTAAGATACTTGGCTATAAAATGTTCAGACAGAAGGGAAAAATGAAGCTGGTCTAGAAAAGTAAGCTAAAAATCCTCTCCCTGGCTTAGATCACTGGGGCAATGTGGGAGTGTATCCATGTGATTACAGCCTGGCCCCAAGGGAAAGAACAACACTATACCCTGACCACATTGGCTCAGAGAGGGCAATGCCAAAGAGTCAGGACATTTATATCAGGTCTTGCTCTTTGTGTCAGGAGAAATGTGGTAGCTTTCACAGCTTCTTTACCTCTGTCCTCTGTAACCAGTTCCATTTCTAGATGGGCACTATTTCACGTGTGCACTGGCCCAGGAGCCAGGAATACTTGCTGAGTACCTGGGCTGAGCAGTATCTTTAACATGTGACATCCCAGGAAGCATGGTTGTCAGCATAAGTTTAGTGAGTATATTTTCAGACAGCATAACCCTGCAAGGATAAAATACAAAATAGGTAAGGTCTGACTTGGGAACGGAAGAGGAAGTGCCAGTTTGGTGCAATGGGGTTGTGGTGAGGAGGGACATGGGAGCCAGAGTAAAGTGGAAGAGGCTTCAGTGAGGAGTCAGAAGCACAGATGGAGCCTTTATTTATACATTTATCTAAAGGAGTGAGTCTCAACCTTGGCTGTATATAAGCATCACCTCAGGAAAATTTTAAATTCCCAATTATATCAAAATTCCCTCTGAGTGGGAACCAGACATTGGTATTTTTAAAAGCCCCAAGGTGGTTCTAATATCTATCCAAAGTTTATAACCACTGCTTTATGGCGAACTAAGGAAAACATGTTTGTCTACCTTGGCTGGTATCCCCGCCACACTTCTGAGGGGTAAGGGAAGGCAAGATGTGACTGATAATGTTGGCTGGATTGGTATTTATTCTGTGTCTCTTACAAGAGAAAAGTATGTGCGAATTTCTGATGAGGAGGTACCCACTTAAGTCTTAATAACTGTCTTTGTGATATTCTCCTGTGTGACTTGCCCAATAATTATTTCAATTCAAACTTCTAGGTTTTTTATTATCTTATATATATGACATCACAGGATGCCAGAAATATCACAGTAAGTTCAACGGGATATAAAGTTAAGTGGAAAACTAATTCTCAATATTTGGACAGTAGAAATTCTCAAAACAATTATTTACTAAATCAGGTCCAAATTTATTACTCATTCTTCTTTTGCAGGAGACATGGATAGCAGGTATCTGTTCTGCTATAGGTTTTTTTTTGGGGGGGGATTTGATCTTAGCATAAAGGGAGAACAACTCTTCCATTTTGATTATTGTCTCAATCAAAAGCTCCCAGGGCCACTTGGATTTATTTTCTTAGTTACTGGACATGTGTTTAAAGGGAAAAGAATGTCTATAACTTATTAATACTATCTGAGTTCCAGTGTCCTGAAAGAGTGCTTATACTTTCAAAAAAGGAAAGTCTGGCCTGTCAAAGACAGTAATACATAAAGAAAAAAATTCAGAGATATCTCCTGTCATTCTGCTTCCCCTCTGGTATTGGCCCACCCTTCTCAACTGCAAAGCCAGAAAATAATCTAGGTGGTGGTTTTGGACAATTGTACACAGGATCAAAATCTCTAATAACCTATAATTTTTAGTACTTAATTATGTGATGTTTTATTCTAGGACATAAGAAACAGATGACATCATTGATGTATCTTTCTTTCATCTTCAGAATTTTTGCATCTTTTCAGAAAATGACAAATTACTATTTTTCTGTTGCACTCAGCAATTGTGACTATACTTAACAAAATTCTTGTAGTCTGTAGAGATATCAATAAAATTGTATATGTTTGTACATAGATGCTCTCTTTTGTCATGATGTCATGCACCATTAGTGACTTTTGCCAAGATTAAATATGGACAGAGGTAAGACCGTCATTTGTAACACTGAAATATGGTTTTAAAAAGTGTAATTGTTTCAAAACGCCAGGGAAGAGGTGGGAGAGCATTGTACAGCATATTGATTTGAACTAAGAAAGAGAAAGAAAAAAACTAAACACAGTTTCCAAAACTCAGAGATTTTACTAGAATTTATAAACCCAAAAGGCTTTAAATAGTCATTCAAAATTCCCATCAAATTGGGGAGATGTGTAACTATTCATTGGAAGACTTTCAAGACAACTTTTGAGGATCTTGACTAAATTCTACCTTCAGTAAAGTACAAGTAAAATAAATTTGGAAATAGTGCAGCACGAGAAACTGAGGTACCTACAAAGTCAATATGCAGACATTGCTTCCTTACTTCTTTTCACCTCAGACTTTAATCCCCATCCAGGCAGAAAAATTAAGCTATTATGGGTTATACTACCTCCTACTGGTTATGATAAACATCCATAACCCAAGACCAACAGTTCATAGAGTGCTCTCTTGCTCCTCTGATTTTCATTGGCATAGTTAACTCCGCTTCAGGATCTTCCATTATGTTTACCTACACTGTCGCTTTAACCAACCGACCCGTTCTTCCAAATCCTAATTATCTCAGGAAAAGATTCCCACCACTACAATTTTTCTCCTAGTTCAGGTTCCCTGTAAAAATGGAAAAACCAACCAACCATATGCTAAAGATGTTTTTGATTAAAAGTACAAATATGTAGATGGGCCCTTTAAAACACAAATTCTCTTTCAGAATGTTTCCCTTTCAAATTTTTCTCAAAAGGATCTATTTACCTCCTCATTTTTCATTCTTTTTTTCTTTTTTGAGGAAAAAGATTTTTTTATTTCAGAATATTATGGATGTACAAAAGTTTTGGTTACATAAATTGGTTTTGCACTATTTGAGTCAAAGTTATAAGTGTGCCCATTACCCAGATAGTGCACATCCCACCTGTTAGGTGTGAATTTACCCAAACTCTCCTCCCCTCCTGCCTGCTTGATTACCAATGAATGTTATTTACATATATACATATAAGTATTGATCGATTAGTTCCAATTTAATGGTGAGTACATGTGGTGTTTGTTTTTTCATTCTTCTGATATTTCACTTAGAAGAATGGTCTCTAGTTCCATCCAGGTTAATACAAGAGGTATTAGTTCACCATTTTTTATGGCTGATGAGTATTACTCCATCATATACATATATCACATTATATTAATCTACTCATGTATTTTTTTTTATTTCAGCACATTATGGGGTACAAATGTTTAGGTTACGTGTATTGCCTTGCCCCACCAAAATCAGAGCTTCAAGCGTGTCCATCCCCTGACAGTGCTCACCATACCCTTCAGTGTGTACATACCCATCCCCACCTCCCCCCTCCCATCTGCCTCACACCTGATTAATGTTATTACTATATGTGCACTTAAGTGTTTATCAGTTAAAACCAATTTGATGGTGAGTACACGTGGTGCTTATTTTTCCATTTTGGGGATACTTCATTTAGTAGAATGGATTCCAGCTCTATCCAGGAAAATACAAGAGGTGCTATATCACCATTGTTTCTTAGAGCTGAATATACTCCATGGTATACATATACCACATTTTATTAATCCACTCATGCATACATTGGCACGTGGGTTGCTTCCACATCTTTGCAATTGTGAATTGTGCTGCTATAAACATTTGAGTGCAGATGTCTTTTTTATAAGAATGTCTTGTTCTTTTGGGTAGATGCCCAGTAATGGGATTGCTGGATGAAATGGTAGATTTATTTGTATCTCTTTACAGTATCTCCATATTGCTTTCCACAGAGGTTGTACTAGTGTGCAGTCCCACCAGCAATGTAGGAGTGTTCCTATCTCTTTGCATCCATGCCAACATCTATTATTTTGGGGCTTTTGATAAAGGCCATTCTCACTGGGGATAAGTGATATCTCATTGTGGTTTTGATTTGCATTTCCCTGATGATTAGAGATGTTGAGCATCTTTTCATATGTTAGCCATTAGTCTATCTTCTTTTGAAAAGTTTCTGTTAATGTCCTTTGCCCACTTTTTTGATAGGGCTATTTGATTTTTTCATGCTGATTTTCCTGAGTTCTATATAAATTCTAGTTATCAGCCCTTTATTGGATATATAACATGTGAATAATTTCTCCCATTCTAGAGGTTGTAGGTTGTCTGTCTGCTCTCATGATAGTTTCCTTGGCTATGCAGAAGCTTTTTAATTTGATCAGATCCCATTTATTTAATTTTATTGTTGCTGTGATTGCCTTTGGGATCTTCATAAATTCTTTGCCTAGGCCAATGTCTATAAGAATTTCTCCAACATTTTCTTCTAGAATTGTTATAGTTTCATGCCTTAGGTTTAAGTCTATTATCCATTATCCACAGTCATTCAAGCTTCAGATACCTGCATTCAATATTGAAAATAATGATTTGATTTCCTTCCTCCCTCCTTTCCTACCTTCTTCTCCTTCTTCCTCCCTCCTCCTGTTCCCAGTTTCCACTGCCTCCCCCCTTCTTTCCTTTCATTCAGTCTAAAAATCAACTACATCTGAGTGGGTTGGTGACAGAAGCCCCATACAAGGACTGTGCTGGAGGCGGGTGAGAGGGCCAGCCCACAGGAGGACGGAACTGGAGAGAGGTAGCAGGGCCAGCCGTTCGGTGGTCAGTGATGATGTGTGAGGTTAGCATTGGAGCAGGGCAGAAGGCAGTGTAGCAGGGTCAGGAGATTGGCTATAAACAGGGGATTGAACCATCAAGATATTGAGAATATAGGAGCTAGGTTTCTCACTGAGGCAGAATGGAGGAGGGAAGTACAATTAAAAGGGAAAGCTAGAATAAACCCTGTAGTAATGGATTAGAATTGGAGCTATTTCCAGTCAGATGTATCTGTATCTACTTACACAGATACATATAGTTTTAACTATGTGGTTTACATATACATGTGATGGAAAGGAAAGTGTGTGTGTGCATATGTGTTATACATATGTATTTCCTAACTCTGAGCGGACTAGAAGCAACCCCATGGGGCAATGAGCATAACTAGTGCCTTGTTTTTGATTTCTAAATACTAGTCTCTGCTGTGTGGCTCCACACCCTCCCAATGGGCATGAGTTCTCTCTTGCCATCCACACCTATGACCGGGATCTGTCTCCTAGCCTCTCTGCCTTGCCATGTGGGCTGTCAGTAGTTGAATGTGCCAAATGCCTGTGGGCAGGAAGAGCACACACTGCAGCTGCTGCTTGCTTGGGACAAGACCCCTTCCCCAGTGCTGAAAGCAGGTCACTCAGCACAGAGAACTCTAGTGGCTGCTATGGTGGGGAGAAGGGGCCGTGGTCTTGCTGCACTGCTCCTGAGTTCAGGGGGCACCGGTCTGCCCTCTTGTTGGAGCTACCACTGCACCTATTAGACACGGGCTCAGTTGGGAATGTGCTCCTGGTGCAGGGAGCCCAGTCACTTAGCAAGGCGCTTTGGCAGTTGCTGTGGGGTGGGTGCAGCCACATGGCTATGAATGGCTTGAGCCAAAATTACTCTCTAGGATGCCAGGAATGGAGGTGGTGCAGAGGAGGAGGCATCCAGAATCAGGCATGCCAGCTCTCTGGATCCCTGGTGGCATTCCCCTGTGTCCTGTTGCTGGCTTGAGGCACCCAGATGGGGAGTGGAAAAGCTGCTTGCCCTTTCCCTGGGCTCTGGAACTCTCTGGATTTGGTTCACAGCTGATTTCTCCCTTCTATCCTTCTCTCTCTCACTTTCTCCTGGTAGTGTCCCCGGACTCCACTTCTGAGCAGCAATCACTCTCCTCAGTCAACCCTCAACTCTTCTGATGGGAAGGTCCAACAAGCTGTGTCTAGTTGGCCATCTTGGCTTGCTTCATCTAGGGTGTTAACACACCAGAGACTCAGACATAGTTTTAGAATCACAAAACCTCCCTAGGCCCAATCAGGAAGAACCAGAATTCCTGAACAGACAAATATCAAGCATTGGAATTAAAGCAGCAGTAAAATATCTTCCAACAAAAAAATGTCTCAGACTAGATGGGTTCACACCCAAATTTTACCAAAGCTATAAAAAAGCACTGGTATGTATACTGCAGAAATTATTCCACAACATTAAGAAAGATGGAATCCTTCCCAACTCATTTTATGAAGCAAATATCACCTTGATACCAAAGCCAGGAAAACACACACACAAAAAACTACAGACTAATATCTGTATAAATATAGATGCCGAAATACTCAATAAATTCTTAGTAAACCAAATCCAACTGCACATCAATAAAATAATTCATCATGACCAGGTGGGCTTTATCCCAGAGATGTAAGAATGGTTCAACATACATAAATCTATAGAGGTAATTCACCATATACATAAAAGCAAAAACTAAGACCATGTGATCCTCTCAACAGACTCAGAAAAGGCATTTGACAAAATCCAGCACCCTTTTATAAGAACTCTTAACAAAATAAACATAGATGAGATGTACCTCAAAATTATTAAACCGATATATGACAAACCCACAGACAACATCATATTGAACAGGAAAAAATTGAAATCATTCCCGCTTAGAACTGGAACTAGACAAGGTTGTACACTATCTCCACTTCTATTCAACATAGTACTGGAAGTGCTTACCAGAGCAATCAGAGAAAAGAAGGAAAATCAAGGGCATCAAATTGGGGGCAGAAGAGGTCAAACTATCACTCTCGGCTAACAATATGATTTTATATCTAGAAAACCCCAAACATTAAACCAAGAAACTCCTGGAATAGATAAATGAATCGGCAAAGTTTCAGGATACAAAATCAATGCACACAAATCAGTAGCTTTAATATACACCAGTAACATTCAAGCTAAGAATCAAATCAAAGATGCAATACCTTTACAATAGCGTTAAAGAAAATAAAGTATTTAGGAATATAT